TACAAACCTCTTTAAAGATTTCTTTGGGTAGCACATTTACAGTCGACCCGCAGTCGAGCTGGAATCTCACCGTTTTTCCTTGAATTCTGATTTCTGCATATAGTTTTAGCTCACCTGAGCCGAAGGCTCAAGTGAGCTTTTCTGATCAAAATTTGTCCGTTGTCTGTCGTCGTTGTTGTCGTTAACTTTTCACATTTTCATCTTCTTCTCAAGAACCACTGGGCCAATTTCAACCAAACTTGCTACAAAGTATCCTTGGGTAAAGGGGATTCAAGTTTGTTCATATAAAGGGCCATGCCCTTTTCCAAGGGGAGATAATTATGAATTAGAGAAAAATTAATGGCACTTTTAAAAAATCTTCTTCTCAAGAACCAATGGGCCAGGAAAGACGAAACTCATGTGGAATCATCCTCAGGTAGTGGAGATTCAAGTTTGTTCAAATCATGACCCCCGGGGTTAGGGTGGGGCCAATATGGCCGATCAAGGTTTTACATATAGGAAAAATCTTTAAAAATCTTCTTCCCAAGAACCACTGGACCAGGAAAGATGAAACTCATGTGGAATCATCCTCAGGTAGTGTAGATTCAAGTTTGTTCAAATCATGACCCCCAGGGCTAGGGTGGGGCCAAAATGGCAGATCAAAGTTTTACATAGGAATATATAGGGAAACCTTTTAAACTCTTCTTTTAAAGTACTTCAAAGCCATGATTAATTATATTTATATGGAATCATCCTGTAGTGTAAGTTCTAGTTTGTTCAAATCATGACTCCCTGGGGGTTAAAATTCAAGCCCCATCCCCACCTCAGTAAATATTCAGTTCTGATCAGATATGTGCTTTTTCCTAGCCGATGTGCTCAGGTGAGCGCTGTGGCCCCTGGGCCTCTTGTTTCTCAATCGAGTTTACGTTTACGATCATCAGGATGAATTCTTCATCGCTTGTATCGTTGTTGATTTGTTTAATGTGACCACGCCTTGGTTTGAGTTGTGGGCACTTCGTTGAAAAGTGGTTCATTTGGCTGCATTTTCATGATTTTATACACTTTTTACCCCATGCTGGGCACAAATGTTTTCAAAAGGGGTGTTCCTTACCGCAATATAGGCACTCTTTGTGACTTTTAGAGGCAGTTGGGAATTGCTTAATTTCTTTCCTTGTTGTTTGTTTGGTTTTTGTATGCGGTTTGCGTGGCAATTTTATTTTAATAGCGTGAACCTCTTCTATAGTTTTCAGCTGCGATGAGAATTTTTTCGTTGGCCCTACAGATGTCAACACATCTCTTTAAATCTAACTTCGACTCTTGGAGTAACTTATTCCGCGTGCCGTTGTCTCGAATTCCTAATACAATTCTGTCACGGATCATGTCGTTTTCCAGAGCATGTTTTTGTCAGGGATCTCAAAACTATTACATGAAAAAGCGAAACAAATGATTGTAGCCATATTATCAATGAATCGAACTGACATCATATTCAATGCATTTTGCATCTCGTGAATGCTGTAGCTGCGCAGTTCTAACATGCTTAATTTCCCCCTAATTTAAACAAAATAAACTTAATTGTTTATTAATTTTGGTCTCTAACAGTAGGTAATGAGTGCATTAGCACTTTGAGTAACTTTGGGCTAGTTTGGTATCTAGTATTAAGCGCGTTCTTGGTATTTCTTGTTTTACACCAGACTAGATCCGATATGTACATTGTACATCCCCCTTAACCTCCGCCTTCGGCCTCGGTCAGCCAATACCTGATCTCAGGTCCGTATTGTAACGAGAACTCATCAAAAGTCAATAACTGTATATTGTATAATGACTACATGTATGTGTTTAAACCAATAAGATTTAAGTATATATGAAAGTATATAATACACATGTATTTCTACACTGAAGGGACGAGAAATAATATTTTCTTTAAAGTTAGTGTATTTTCATACAAGGTGTGATGTGAAAATGGCACGGTTTATGTTTATTACATGCTACATGTAAGTCACAGGCACTTGTTTCGGAAATAAAATTTTTAACTCATAGTAATATAATAACACAAGCCTCTAACTCCGAATTACACTCCGTACCCTCCTCTTCAGAAACGCACCCTTTCATAGTAAATGCACTGGCAAACTGTTTATTACCACTGTCTTCTACAATAATTTACCTACACAACCATATATGGCATGTATGACTTCGTTTTCATTTATTTCCGTGAACAGCGTCAAAACTCTGCTCGCGAAAGTCGAACTAAATTATAAACCTTGTACATCAGGGAAAATTAATTATAAATTCATAAAAAGCGGACCAGAAACAGTTCCTTTACTACAAGTTTCGTTATAGTTTTAATCTACTGGAGTGTGATATAAATCCATATATGTCCATTTCTAATTTTTTTTCTCTGTGATAACCCTTTTAAAGTTACCGGAGTTGATATCTTGACAATTCTACCGGAATGTAAATTAGGCAGGTCGATAGGTCAGGAACTAAAAAATGCCTTAAAGGCATGCAAATCTCGTGCGCATCTGTCTCTGTGCTTGACGCTAAGGAGGCCAAATATGCATGTAAATCTCGTGTGGCTGTCTTTGTGTTTGACGTCAGTGGATGAGGATGGGAGTCCTCGTGTAATTTAAATCTGTCACTACATTTTTAAGTCTAAATCTCTAATTTTATTTCACAATGAAATGGAAATATAAAGAATCACTGTCTAGTTAGGAGAGTATGCCAGGGACATCAACAATAGTGGGAAACATGGGATAATTTTAGCATAACGGGCATATTTTATTATTTTTTAACCAACCTGTATATTTCATCTACCTCCTTACCCTTTAAGGTAGGACACAATAGATAGCCACATTTTTCCACAAATTCAATTTTTCTGAAACTTTGATATTTTGTTCCAGGATACAAAATCTCTCTTTATAAATGTTCTGAAAGAAATTTGACCACACATTTTTTGCCTACATAGTCTGAAATATGGCCATCAGACCCCTTTAAGAAGATTGTGAAATAAGACATTCGAATTTAGAATGAGCCTTCTTTTAGAACTATCAATTGATCTTTTGCAAATATGTACTTTTATAACCTTTTTGTTACTTTAAATCAGTAAGTCATATTGATACTTGAAAATTTGAGCAAAATATTAAGTAAAAAAGGAACATACATACCTGTATCTTCACATGTTAATATCCGACAATTTAAGTTTTCTTTAGAGAAAATGTATAATTATATTTTTTTTTTACAAAAAATTAACAGAATGATTCAAATGTGTCCTAGAATAAAGAGCGTAAAAATAAAAAAAAATTAACCAGTGATCTAAAATAAGGGAGTGAAAGGTAGTTAATCGACCAATGCTCAAAAGTGGAGAAATTCTCCTCAGTAATGCACAGAAAATCTTGCGACGTAAATTACACATTATTTGCATTACAGGATCTCTAGCGTAATGGTCAAAGACTAATATACGAGGGGTGATCAAAAAGTTCGCTAACTAATTGAATATCTTCCGAAAAAGAAATGATATGGGGTTTAAGTGTTGAAAAATGTTGATAATCTCTGGAATAATTTGGGTGGATAATGACATCCTTTTGAAGAATAAGCATGGTGACCATCAAAACCCAAGACCTCTGTCTTCTGAGCGTCGTTTATTTCATATAGATAAAGTATAGGTGCCTTCACATTATCATATCTGATATGTTTTAAGTCTAAAGTAAACGATATTTTAGGGAAAACATTTTAAATTTTTTTTTATAAGCTTCTACAAAAGAATTTCTAAGATATACGTTTAACTTTACAGCAATTTGTTTCTCGAATACGACTGAGTCAACCATTTTCTGTCACAAGTGATCTACCTAAGGCCATAATAAATAAATAGCTAGATTCTCATCCGAATTTTTTTTAGAAATCAAGGCGGGCGGGTGGCTTTTATTTTATATATTTTTTTTTTCAATTTTGCAGATTTTTTATTGACCTGGTCAATCGATGTAATTTTATCTACAATACCCGATTAAAAGTCATAGTAAAGGTTTAATTATCTCTTACTTCACATCATCACCGATCTTTTTCAACTAATGACCCTTATTTAAAATATATACGCATATATTACATTATTAACCATCTTTTCAGCTGTCAAAATCATGTCGACTTTCGCGAGATTTAAAACGAAAGTAGAATGGTAGATGAATACCGATCCCGATCAGAATTAAGACGAAGAAAAACAGAAATAAGAAAAATCGAGGCGGGGGTATGAAATCGGGGCGGGCGGGGATGAGAATCTAGGAATATTTTTATTATGGCCTTATGATGGCATTTTCACATTGTGACGTCACAAACACGGGGCAAAACATTCCATTAAATATGCTATATATAGAACATGTGTATGACTCTACTGTATATGTGCCAAATTTCATTCTGATATGAATTTCGTAGGTATAGAGATAGTTCGCGAACTTTTTAATCACCCCTCGTATTTATAAACCATAACGCTACAGTTCTGCAGCTAACGTTGTTTATTGGTATCTATTCATACGCACTGTTTTTTGGTGCGTAAGTTTGATAGTAAAGTGAAAGAAAGTTTCATTTTATTAATTTAAAATCATAATTAAATGATAAGAAATGAATGTAATATTTTTTCGTTTGTTCGACGTATCAAAGAAAAAAAAATTGGACAGAAAACGTTTATCGTCCAATTTCTTTTCTTTGATACGTCGATGAATGGAAATATTCCATTCATTTTTTAAGTGAAATACAATGTATTCTCTAGCTAAATGGGAAAAAAATTGTTGTGCCATTTTTGTTTGAATATTCTAAATATACTGGAAACTAATTGCAAACAGTTGCTTTCTAGAATTGATAATTCAGGGCAATCACTATTATGCAAGTACAAATTTATACCCAGAAATTTAAATTACAAGATTAAAAATGAAACATAAATTTTTCATTTGACAAGCAATGGAACAGAATACAGAATTTTGGCTTCAATAAACTGCCTGCACTGTGAAAAAGCTCAAATATTTTTGTAAAAATCTTACGCAGGTGACCGATCTCCTGTGTCTGCATCTTGATAATGCTTGAAAGTTGTCGTATCTCAGGTGTCACTTTGCTATTTTTGTGCGCTGAAAATAAAAATGTCATTCACAGTAAACATTTTTGTGACATAATTCCGTACGTACATAAAGTACTAGTTTCTGTTTTTACCTTTTAACCCATAAATGTTAATATTCTTACTTTGGATTACATGGTGTAGCCCCCACTCCCTCCCCTCAATTTAACCAATTTTCCTTACGATATTGATTATTAGAAACTTTGAATTCACTCATCATTGTCAAAAACAGACTCCTGCTTGCCGGTGTCACGACGAAAAGTGACCCCCGAAGAATATTGACCAGCTTCAAGACCAGACTCAATATTCTACGACAAGTGGGGTCATTTTTCGACCGTAGAAAACCATTCCAGACCAGTAAATCTGCGACTACACACAGGTTGGAAAATGACCCTCATAGAAATTTGATCCCCTCCTTCTTTATAAAATAAAACCTTATATCTGTGTCTCCTTATATTTATTTTATACTTTCAAATGTAAGGAGGAGGGATGTTCTTTATTCCTTTCAACATACAGTGTATTTGATTGCATAACTGAAAAATAGCATTGTAATCAATGTACTTGATTTGGGTTTTTTTTGGCTTGCAGAATCCCAATGAATAATAATTTATTGAGGAGCATAGATTTATGAATATATTTTTTGTGTTTTTTCCTCATTCAAAGAATTTATTCCAAAACTGGCATGAAATGTTTATGACAACCATAAACTTGTATTGAAGCCCCCGAAATTATTACTTTTAACCATTAGAATTCATTTTTAAAAATGTTTACAAAACCAAAAAAATGCATTGAAGTAAGAAAAGCAACATAATTTCACTGTATAAATTCATTTCCGTAACTCTTACATTTAAACTTATATATAGCTGTATGCATTCTGCTTTTAAATACATACTTTTTAACTATATACGGAAGATACCATACTCAGAACGTTGAGAACGTTCTGATAACGATATAAAAAATCCCACCAAACGGGCAAATATTTACATCTGAGTAAGAAGGATGTGAAGATAGCGAACGATATTCAATCTCAAAGTCCATAAAACAATACAAACTAGATGCTGTCATGAGACAGTTATACCCGCACTAATGTGTTTGCCTCTAAATACACACCCATACATATTGGGCTTTCCAAGGAAAAGTCAAAATAATTCTATAATTTACACAATACATGTATTTGTCACATAGAGTATAACATTCTCAGACCCTGTGACTTATGACTCAGTATTTTATATATACTTCATAGGCATCTGAAGGAAATTGAAAGTGGGGGGGGGGGGGCTAATTGAAAGGGGGGGGGGCTAAACCAACAAAAAAGGTAAACCCCAATTTTCAATACATAAAAAATGTCTATCTTTGCAAAAAAAGGGGGGTTAAAGCCACCCAAACCCCCCCCCCCCCCCCGGATCCGACGCCTATTTGCTTGAACAAAAAACAGAATCTAATTAATGGTGTGAATTTACCCATGACCTTGAAGATTTTAACAAATGTTTTGCTCATAATTGGAACCTTTTTGAATTAAATAATGCCCCCCAAACACCACACACATACTCACCCTCGATCTC